GATTTCATTAAACAACATATTTGATTTAAAACCAAGGACAATTGGCACAAAGTGAAACACAGGAGGTTCTCTCTGAACATCAGGAACTACATTTTCACTGTGAGAGTGACCAAGCACCGGCACACGTTGCCTGGGGAGATTTTGGAATGTTCATCCTTGGAAATATTAAAAAACCATTTGGACACAACTCTGAGCAATTGGCTCAGGATGGCCCTGCTTGAACATGGTGAGTTGGACAAGATGACCTTTAGAAGTCACTTCCAGCCTCAACATTTTTGTGTTTCTTTGATTCTGTGAACACTGTGCCAGTTTACACTCTTAATATTTTTGATGTCTTGTTTACAAGTACAGGAGTTGGGAAGGGTTTTTTTTGGGTAAGGAGGAAAGTTGAGACCAATAAGTACAATTCTCTGGCAAAATACCTGGCAAGAGCAGGATTCCTGTGTCTGATGCACAAGGCCACAGGGGGCTCCAAACAACGCTTTGATGGCTTTGCTAAATTATAGATCTCTGCTCTCCAAGACAAAATAAAACAGTGCTTTCACAATTAAGTGTATCTGTATTGTATCCAGATCTCTGGCAAATGAAATCACTCTCGCTGCTCTGGCAGCTTCTCTCTGTTCATTCGTATTCCCTTTTCCCTTTGGTTGTACATCTTCATTTCTACAACTACTGGAGAAAAATCAGGGGGGAGGAGGGCAGAAACTGTGTGTGCATCAGCAGGGGACTTAAAAACTGCTGGTGGTATTAAAGAGTTCACCAAAGATGACAATTTTCTACAATCTGTATAGCTTCCTACTTTCACAGAAGAGCAGTTGGAGGTGAGCAAAAGTGAAGTTGATGGATAATTGCAATAAAGTTACACTTACTTGCCAAACATGGAAGTTACCAAATGTGGCAGTTTAGTGTGATCCCAAAGAAACACAAGATCTGTCGTTTTGTTGGTGTGGCTTTCCCTCCGTCTGCAACAATTTGCACTGCAATTGCACAGCTTGCTCAAATTCTTTCTGAATTCTTCTGCTTTTAAAGCTGGCAGGAAAGTGTTTAGGTTGTTCTTTTTTTCTTTTTTTTTTCTTTTTTTTTAATACATATATCAGAGAACAGAATAGAAATGAAGACCCAGCTGGCATAGTGTGAATTGCCAATCAAGCATGGCTGTATCACTCACTTTAAACTAGCTAGAGCTGCTTCCAGACAGACAGAACTGCTCAGATGTGGCTTTTCTAGATAAAAAATGGCATGTGATTCTTCCCAGGAGTCAAAAAATAACAACAACAAAAAGCCAAAACCAAAACCCCATAAGGTTTACTTACAATCTCTCTGGACTTGTTAAAAAGATTTCACACTGTGGCCAAATCATGCCTGACAAATTTGGTGTCCTTCCACAATGGAGCTACAGCATTAGTGGATAAGGGAATAGCAACTGACACAGTCTATCAGGACTTGTGCAAAGCATTTGACACTGTCCTGCACAACATCCTTGTCACTACATTGGAGAGACATAGTTTGATGGATGGACCACTCAGTGGATAAGAAATTGGCTGGGTTGTCACATTCAAAGGGTTGCAGGTGATGGCTCTATGTCCAGTTGGAGTCCAGTGACGAGTGATGCTTTCAAGGGGTTGGCACTGGGACTGGTGCTATTTAATATCTTTGTTGGTGACAAGGACAGTGGGATTGAGGGCACCCTCAGCAAGTCTGCAATGTCACCAAGCTGTGTGGTGTGACTGACACACTGGGGGGAAGGGATGCCATCCAGAGGGACCTGGACGGGCTTGAGAGGTGGACCTATGACTGACACACTGGGGAGAAGGGATGCCATCCATAGGGACCTGGACGGGCTTGAGAGGTGGACCTGTGTGAACCTCATTAAGCTCAGTGAGGCAAAGCACCTGGATTGGGGCAATCCCAAGCACAAAACCAGGATGAGAATGGATTGAGAACAGCCCTGGGGAGAAGGATTTGGGGGCGTTGGTTGATGAGAAGCTCAATCTGAGCCAGCAATATGCACTTGCAGTCCAGAAGCCAAACATGTTCTGGGCTGCATCAAAATCAGCATGGCCAGCAGATCAAGGGAGGTGATGCTCCCTCTCTACTCCGTTACTGTGAGAACCCACTGGAATACTGTGGCTAGCTTGGGACCTCCAAGATAAGAAGGAGTGGACTTATTGGAGCAAGCACAGAAAAGAGACACAGAGATGATCAGAGGGCTGCAGCATCTCTTCTATGATGACAGGCTGAGAGAGTCAGAGTTGTTCAGCCTGAAGAAGAGAAGGCTCCAGGAAGACCTTGCAGCAGCCTTCTGAAGGGGCCCACAAGAAAGCTGGAGAGGTCTTGTTACAAGGGTTAATATGGACAGGACAAGGGGCAGCAACTTTAAACTACAAGAGCATGTGGATGTTGAACACATCCCTGGAAGTGTTCAAGGCCAAGCTGCATGGGGCTTTGAGCCACCAGGTCTAGTGGTGGCTCACTAAGGTACGTGTCCCTGCCCATGGCAGGAGGGTTGGAACTAGATGATGAGTTAAGGTCCCTTCCATCCCAAACCATTCCATGAGCCCAGCATATAGTTTTCCTGTCTAAGCTGAAAGACAAAGAGCTGAAACAGAGTTGTAAATTCAGTTTGGAACTCCCTACAGCAGACACCCCACTGCCCTGGAAGAGGGATGTTTGACCTGGGAGAAGTACTGTTAGTGGTAAAATTTGTTCTGAGACCTATAATTTGTATCTGTGCATTTTTTTATTGTTGTAGATGTGGAAGTGGACACAAAGAACTGTGCAAGACTGTTAACAGAAAGGAGGTTCAGAATATACTGAAAACATCATCTTGATGACTGGAATAAAAGAAATGGGATGAAATGCAACAATGGAAAAGATGCGGTCATGCACTTAGACATTTATTAAAAACATTATTATTCAGACATTTATTAAAAACATTATTATTAGTATTAGTATTAGTATTAGTATTAGTATTAGTATTAGTATTAGTATTATTGCTGTTGTTATTGTTATTGTTGTTGAGTGTAAATTACAAATACAAGGAGTAGCCTGTATTTGTCACTCACAGCATGACCTGAAACATCAGTGAGATTTGGTCATATAGAAAGCAGATTGGCTGTATTAGAAAAGACAATTTTGGAAGAAATCAGGAGAGATTACTTCTATGGCAGAGACTGGAAATAGTTTGTGAAAAGCTGTTACAAACTGCAGCTATGCTGAAGAAAGCTGAATCCAAACTTATCTAGTGCAGTAAAATCTGAGTTACAGAGGCTCTGTCTTACAGGAGGAGACTAATAAAATGTACTGATAGGTTAGACATCAAAGAGTGGCTATAACTACTGCCTATAAATGTATTACAGATTTAAATGCAAGGGAAAGAGAAATGAGTAACAGGAACACTGGATGTCACAAGAACAAATGGGGATGAACTGGTCTTGAATGTGTTTGAGATGAGGGCTGTTCTGGTCCAGCCCTTCAGCAAGAGGTAAAGGAAAACAGCATATTTAGTGTATGATTGATATAGATGTGTTTTAGGGAGGTATACAGAGCATTTGCTGCTACAACAGCAAAATGCTACCTTCAAAACATCTCTGCCAGTCCCATGACCCAAAGATCCCAAAGGTTCATCTGCTTAGACAGCAGCATGCAGACCTGCTAGAGAGAGCTTTGAACATCCTGGCCTGTGTACCTCAGCAGCCCAGTTTCATAAGCATCAATTCCATTCCAGTTAATGTGCCCCACCTTACTGAGGAGCAGAGCTCTTCTCACATCTAGCATCACCAAGTAATTACAGAAGAACATTTACTTGGCAGAGGCAGCCAGTGCTGAACTCCCTATGCCAAAAGGAAATTGCTCTCTTAGTAATACAGGACTTAGTCTTCAATGCTGTATTTAAACAGACAACAATCTGACTTTAGGTGTCTGACCATGGTGCCTCCCAAAGCCTACCCCTGGATTTATGGCCTTGCTCTTGATGCTCTGGTTAACAAACTGCTCAAAGGTCTCCTCACACAAGAGGTACATCTTAGTGCAAGCCAGATCTCCTCACACAAGCTCTACACTTTACAGCCTGTCAGCGGTGTGTAGCAGCAGAGAGATCAAGGAAAAAGGCAGTTTTTATTCCTGAAAAACAAATGGTTTGCAGAGTGGATTAAAAAAACTTGCATGAAACGTGCCAACTGAGACAGGAAAAGATCGTGTTGAATGTAAAGCATTGTCTTGTGTTTTCACTATGTGAAAACAGTCACTGTGCTGTCAATTTACACAAAGCTTTCAGCCACACAGATACATGCTGAGCATCTGTACTCAAGATATGTGCCTGGTACCTTCTACCTGTGCAGTGCTTCTGACCTCTGAAGTGTCTCCGGTAAGGGACTGGGAAACCCGTAGACAGTAAAAGCACTCTCTTGGAAAACTCACTGCCTTCACCGTAAATATATTAATGGACTTGGACTGGCGCAAACGCTCCCGCTATACATGCTGGGCTTCCATTCAGCAAAAATTAAACACAACCCTTACAATTAATAGAAGAGATGATCTCTTTGCTTTCTTTCCCAACCGCACTCACGCCGGCTTATTAGTGAATAATAAAAAATCACCCCGGACAGTGACAAACGCTGTGCCAGCGCTCCTCCTGCCTCGACGCCCCTGGGGACCCTCTCTGCTCCATTCACCCATCGGTGCTATCCCCGCACGCCTGCCGCCCGTGCCCGCTGCCAGCCCGGCCCGCCCCGGGACCCCGCACGGCTCCGTGCGGGGCGGCCCCGCCGTGAGGGCGGGCGCTGCCGCCGCCGCTCGCCCTGCCCGCCGAGCGAGGAGAAGCCCCTCACCTCCCCTCCGGTCCCGGGGGAGGGGGCTGCTATCACGTGTGCTTCCTCCCCCATCTCTCTCTCTCCCTCTCGCTCTCTCTCCCTCCTCCTCCTCCCCCTCCGCGGCGGCGGCGGCGGCGGCAGCAGCCTCTCGGCTCCGCTCCCTTTGTTGCAGGCGGAGCGGCGGCGCTGCCGGGCGCCGCGCAGAAAGGAGGGTCCCGCCCGGGCGGCGCCGCGGGCTCCGGTTGATGCTGCGGGCCTGCCGCCGCCATCCCGCTGCCGCCGGCGCTGCTCCTCGGCCGCCCCTCGCCATGCTGGGAGAGAGCCCGGCCGCCGCCCGGCCGCTCCTGCGGGCGGGACCCCCGCTGGCGCTCTGCTACACCTCGGCCCTCCTGGTGCTCGCCCTCTCCGCGCTGCCCGCCGGCCGCGCCTCCCATCCCTTGCCCGGCTCCGAGTGCCAGGGCGGCGGCAAGGGGAAAGGCATCAACTGCTCAGGTAATGCCCCGCCGGCTCCCGCCCCGCGCCCACCCCCGCGGGCAGCCCACGCGTGCACGTGGAGGGAGGGCTGAGCGCGGCCCCCTGCTCCGCCCGGCCCGGCCCGCCCTGGCGCTGCGGGCGGCGGAAAACAAAGGAGCGGCGCCCGCCCCTGCCCCGGCTGCGGCGAGCCGGCTCCCCGGCCGGCGGGGACTTGTCCCCCTCCGGGGCGCGGGGAGCCCCCCGTCCGAGGTGTCCCCGCCGAAGGGAAGGGCTTTGCCGCCGCCTCCCGGCTTTTGTTGCTGCCCGCTGCCCCCCGCCGCCGTGCCGGCAGGTGCGCGCCCGGGGCTGCCCGCATCCCGCCCCTCCTCCCTGCCGCTGCCCCGTGCCCGTCCTGCCGCTGGCAGGGCTGCGAGCCGGCTGGCAGCCGTGAGCGCTGCCCCTGATGGCTCACACGGGCTGTTTCTTGGGTCTGACTCTTGCTGTGAGCAGCCCAGCCACGGGGTAGCCCCTCCGCCCGTCCGTCTGCCGGCTGTCGTAGAGATTCACTCTGCATGAGATGTAGGCAGCAAAATACCCCGCGATGTGCTCAGAATAAGCTTTCTTGGTTTTTTTCTTGCTTTGGTTGCATGACATACATAATATACATAATTATGTGCTGGTATTGTAAGGTTGTGATGTGGTTTGGCATGACAGCAGCACGTTTTCTTAGATCTTGAGGGATATGATGGTTTTGAAGTAGAACAAAGTAAATACATGCAATATAAAGTTTACAGGTTTTAAGAAAGATTTTTTTTGTCTTCTAAAACTACTATTTAGAAAAGGCAATTAATTTTTTTTCTCTGAAAAATGGCTGTGGATGCCTCCTCCTGCCTTTTAAAATGATAGGTTTATTCCACTGCACGAATCACCAGCGAGAGCTGTACAAAGTGCCTTCTCCAAGGTGATGAAGGTTTCTAGCCCTGTGTGCAGAGCCCCCCGCTCCCATTGTCTTCAGCGGGATTGGAAGGCAATGTACACTTTGGAAGGAGCTCTCGGTACCTTCCAGGGTAAGGTCCCCAAACTGCAGCAGAGATTTCAAGAAATGAGTGAACGGAAGAGTGATCTTCCTGCCAATTACATTTTACAATATGGATAATGCTGCTAAAGCAGGCTATCAAATTCGCAGACCAGCAAACTGTGGCAAAATGGTCTTGCAATATAATAAATCTGCTACACATTCTTGAAATGCTCCTTTTACCCAGTTTAGATATACACTGTGTTACTGTGTGATACCACAGTGCTACTGTTTTGCTGCTGCTGCCTGACTTTTCATTCTATTTGTACGAATATGATGGTTATTTTTAAAGAGAGGTTAATAGGTTAATGTGTCACTGGCGTTAGCGGCTTACCCATCAGAGACATATGGGTCATTAGACCATGGCATGAGCATAAATCAGTGAGATTAAATATGGAAGGCTGCTGAAATGTATGAGGAAGTTTCTAAAATGATGTGGAACACAGGGATGTCATTATTTAGAAACAGTCACAGAAAGAGGGCTTTCCAGCCTGGAATTAGAAAACCGTATGCTATATTGAAGGCATTCAGCAGGATTCATTTCTACTAAAAATAGGCACAAGCAAATGTATGTGCTATATACATACTTGTGGCAGGCACTCTTTTCAGGGTAACTCCAAAAATATGGAAGGAAAATTTTGTTTTAAATGCAGTAGTCAGATTCTGCTGTGTGTTAACTGTTTCATGCAACATGGCAGGGTTTCAGTACCCAACTTTATTTTGAAAGAACTAACGTCAACACACAATATCTGGGTCAGATTTTCCCCTCACTTACCTTTGCACAGCTTCATTAACTTTTACTGAAGGAGCTACTCCCTGAAAAAGATGAGTTTCCTGTATTTACACAGGGGACCAGATGTTGGCATTAGCACCCTTCTCAGTGGACTGCTACGATGTACATTGCTGTTTGTACTGAAAGTTAAGCTTGAGAACACTACTACTACTTCTTCAAATGACTGGACTCTCTAAATTGCTTTCCACATTCAAAGAAGGGAAATGCTTCTCCTTTCTTCTGCTGTTTTGCAAGTTTAATGTGTGCATCAGTCTGACCTGCTGCCTTAACAGGTTTTTTGCACTTCTTGAGATGGTTCCTGGGCTGGTAACATTTTATCATTGTTAGATTATATAGCTACCTTTATTTATTTTTTATTTCTTTTCAGAAATGCTGAAGTCCTCTCCTTTGTTGCTACAGAATATGTTGCTTAAGAAAGAGTTTGCTGTAACAAAAGAACGTTACAAGGTGGAGGACACAGGCAGAAAACATGAACATTAAGATGGCTTTTTCAGCCTTGGTTCTGCTCCTTTGGCACATGCATTGCAGCTTGGCCTTTTGTTAAATTATAATATAATTGCATCATCCCTGGCCAGAGGAAGAACATTTGATAAAGTGATTAGAGGAGGAAACAGAGAATTAAGATGTATCTGGAGTTAATTGACAATGTGGACTTGTGTGTTTGTTCATCTGTCAATCCATACTTTGCTAGGCTAATGAAATAAAGTAATCCTGTTTTACCCAGAGTGGGGCAAAAACAAAATAAGTATTTCTTTCTGGAGAAGACAGTCCTAGACTGGTGTTTTGGAGATGCTATATTATTCCCAGTGCTGCCTGTAGTCTTCTTCCGTAACATTCCCGATGCTCCCTGACTCTCCATGTGCTGGTGGTGTGATGCTGAGCTCGGGCTCTGGGGTAGCTGTGTCCTTAGTAAGGGGGCTGTGAACTACAGAGGGTTACTGGGCATCCCATGTGTGAAGGTAAGCACAAGGTGTAGCTCCTTCCTGAGCTCCTAATCTCATGGAGCTCTCTGGGGACACAAACTGCACATGGGCATCATCAGTTTCAGTGTTAGCCTGGTTGAATCTCTGGTGTGGGATATGCTCCAGTCACCTGTGGAGCCACAGGGGTTGTAGCTGGATCATAACTGACCAAACAGATGTAGGTACACAGATTCAACGAGAGATATTGCTCAGTGCACTGGTATGGGTGTGTGCACCTGAGATTTTAATTAACAGGGATATGCCTGTGTTCTAAACCTTTCAGCGTGCTGTTCCCTCGTGTGATAAAATAGACTTGCTAGGGATGGTTCTGTGCACCACCTATGAGTCTCACACACTGCCCCTGCTTTTTCTTAAGATCTCTCTGAGTGAAGTGAGTAAAAGTAAAGTTGTTTCAAGACAGGTTATTGAGGATTGAATGAGCAAGATGAGATCCTGTTTAAATGCAAATATGGTGCATTTGTTTTCATTACTTTCTTAGATACCTTTATGTCTCTCCTCCAGATCCTGAAGCAGGAATCCCCCAGGCTTACTATTGATGGACATCTATTATGGTGCTGTTGTAGCTGTTTCTCCTTAGGAGAAGATGAGGTCTAAATCTTCTCCTATCTGGTATTTGTACACTTGAGGTGAAGCCTTAAGATAATTAGTGAGTTCCCCAAATGAGTTTTGTGTGCACTATATCCCACTCTGTTGTCTGAAGGTTGGATCCAGGCTGTCCCTGCTGTAACAGGGGGGTGTGAACACGAGCATGTAGCTCCCTTGGCCTAGTCCATGTGGCAGATGTGACCGTGGGTTTTGGAGGATATAAACCTCGGGCACTGCTGGTCTCTGGAGCTCAGCCGTGGTTTCTGCCTGGGCTCAGTGGTGGTTCTGTGAACCAGAATGAGATGTGGCCTCAAGACTGGCTTTCATCTGTGCTTATCAGCTAGAACAGACATATCTTTTGTGCTTTTTTGCACAAATTAAGTGGATGAGGGGTTTTGTTTGCTATATCATTCTAAGTTACACAGAGCAAAACCAATTTGTGCTAAAGATATGCAGCCATGTTGGTGAGAACATTAAGAGCAAGGGATGTAAGAGAGATACAGGTTCAGGTAAATTATCGTATTTTGAGAATTACATGTTGTTTTGTGTTTGCATAGTCCACTTGATCTGAAATAGTAGACGGGACTAGAATAATTGGTTACTTTAGCTAAGATACCATGAGTTATGTTCCTGTAAATGAATTATAACAGTCAAGCCAAATAAAATGTGATATGTGTTTGTGCCAATTGAACTTCTGAAGTAAATGATCTAAACTCAGTCAGGTTACATGTCACTTTGAGAAACTATCATAAGGCATGAATATAAATCAACTATATCTAAAAAGTAAAAGCAATTATTAAAAAGAGAAATTGAAACTCGGACAGTGGCATGCATATATTTGTTTCCCTTTAGTGTAATTGCCTAGACATGAAATGTCCTTGCAATACAGATTCCTATGCTGATTAAAGAGCCAAAAGGTAATTAAAGTAGAATTGAAAGTGTCAGAATAGCAGGAAATCATCTTGTAACAGGTGTCACTCCATCATTGTCACTAGTGGGAACTGGTAGTGTGATGGAGCAATCGAGGCTTGACTGAGGGGATTGGATTGAATCCAATTTCTTTATTGGTTTTTTGAAAAGAGGAAAAAAGAAGCTGTATTTGTTGTGGAAAATACTGCTAAGGAAACATTCTTTCTGTACTAAGATCTCTTGGATAATTCCTATTGAGGGGAAAACAAGAAGTCTGGTCCTTTTCTTCCTGTTGATGTAAGGATAAATATTTTATATCTTGTCAGTTTTCTTCTGGAGTTGACAGTAGACTGGATAAACAGGAGAGTTAATATTTACTTGGACCTGAGAAAAAAAAAGAAGCTGTAGCCAAGAACTTTGGTACAAATGCAGAGAATGCAAGCGATATTGACAGGAGTCTGTGCCCTTTTCCTCCAAAGAGATCTTTACATTCCACCATTGATCCATCAACTGAAAGCGCTTTTGACTATTCCAGCCTGTGGTCAGACTTTGGTGAGTGTCCCCAAAGCAGACAGTGGCAGTAGCTCCCAGGATAACAGTAGCTGTAACATTTGTGGAAAGAAAAACGCTGAGCATCAGGAATGTGGAAAAAGGATCTATTCTTCTGTCTTGAGACTCCTGCGTATCCTCCTCA